CTGTTTAGTTCTTTAGAAAAACAAAAAATTCTTTTATTGTTATTTTCAATTCACATTATTGGAGAACATCTAGTTTCCATCTTAGTTTAAGATAAAAATAATGAAATACAATCTTGTTTGCTTTGATTGTCAGGATTCACTATGTGCTTGGAGACTCAGAGAGTCGGTATATATAATTGCTTTGGAATGGCTCCTAGACTCCTAGTTCATCCAGTGTCTAAGCTTGCCAGGTAATTCTTTTTTTTTTTTTTTTTGGTCACGTTTGTCTTTTGATGTGAAAATTCTATTTTTGTTGTTGAATTTTTTTGCTCTTATCAAATACACTGTACCCCTCTCTAGAATGAAATCCTAGCTTTGCCCCTGGTTACGGGGGAGGGAGAGGTTGATGTCGGCGTCACGTTTGGCCTTGTTATGGAAATGGAAGAGATGAGGATGGAGACGTCACAGCGCTCTGGTTCGTCGTCTTCCTTTCGACCAATGGTGCCGATGTGATCCTTTCGTTGTCCTTCAATTAAGTCTGTTTATTGAGTTCATCACCGCTAGCATATCCGACTGTGTTAGTCCCTTTTGGGTTTAATACGCCACTGTGGGTTTGATTTGTGGTTTCGATTTAGGGGTCGTGGTGGTGGCTGTCAGCGGTGGCGACTCCAGTCGTGGTGGCGATGGCATGGGCGTGTTGGTGGTTGTGGGATGAGTATGGCGGTGGCTGTCATCGGTTTTGGTGATGGTGGCGCCGGTTGCGCAGATGGTGATGGTGGTAGGTGGGTGTAGGGGTATTATGGTCATTTAAACATGGGATTAAAAATTTAGGGGCAAATTTATCTTTTCTATGTATTTAACGGAGTCTTTAACAAAAAAACAGAAATGGATCTAAGTGATAGTTATTTTTGAAAAAAGTTTGAGGTTAAAAAATGGCCAAATCTGAGGGGATGTGAGTGAAATTAACCCTTAAATCTATTAAACAAGTTACTTTTGACTCAATCTCTTATTTACTCATAAAACAATTTTGAATAAGTACACATTTTCTACTATGACCCATAAAAAATGCTTATTAACTTTTATTTTAATTCAGTTTTTATTTGAACACAAGTTAAAATGTTGGTTTCAAAACAAGTTTTTAACCGAACAAACTCGAAACAACCAAATTAAAAATTTTCAATTACTTGGTAAGAGTGCACATGGTTTAATTTGGAAGAATATTGAACCAATCATAAAGATTTTAACAAATTGAATTATAACCAGTAGAATCACATAAATTTTTAACAAATTGAATTAGAACCAATCGAATCACATAAATTGAACCAATTCAGACTTGTATAAGAATAGTTTGATAGCAATGTAATATTAAATAGGAGTAAATAAAAAAATTAGCATAATCATTTTTTATATTTTTTTTTATGACGTATGAATTTTAGTAACTATCCGCTCTTTAGATATGTAGCTACTAGGTAAACCCCCAACTACCCACCGACTCCACAATTCGAGTAGCATTTTATGTCCGGGTATATAACGGAGCTAGTCTACTCTTGTTGTGATGTAGAATTTATATTTAGTTACAACACATGAAAAAGTTATGACAAAGAAAAAATGCAATGAAAATTGCATGAATAAAATCAACAATTGTGTTTAATTCCTACTCAATAAACATGCTACCTAATAGCATGTTGGTTTTTTAAGGAGCTTTGTCAATGTCAAAAACCTTGTTGTATGGCATTCGACCAATGTCCATAGTTCAAAAACTAAAACTCTTAATTTGAAACATGCAGCCAACACTTCTTGAAAACTCATCGATATGCAAATAATGAATCTATCTATTTGTTTTGACGTAAAATATTTTTTTTATAAAAAAAAATAAAATAAAAATGGTAATATATATATATTTTTATTTTTATTTTTCAATATTTGACAAAAGTTTAATTTGAGGTTCAAGAAAATATAACTTATAAAAAATTATCAAAAATAATTTGTCAAAAATTGATAAATAAATTATTTTTTATTAAATTTTAATATTTTTTCTTCATAAATATTTTATGATAATCAAACACCAAAAAAGTAAAAAAATATTTTTTACCCAAACAAAGTAGCCTTGAGTATGACTTTCTTCTTAGTATATATGAAAAATAGTACAATTGCAATCCATGATTAAAAATTGGATCATATTCCGAGATATGAAATAGGAAGGTTTTATTGGAAGAAGCATGGGAGGGAGGATATGAGTCACCGTAATTATGACATGCTACACATCAACAAACGTACATAGACAATTTCACATAGTATTGCGTTCATCCTCTGCCTTTATCTATGCTTTTCCAAAGGTTTCACCCGCCTTCTTTGAGGCATCTTTTGCCGTCTTTTCTATGGCTTCACCAGTCTTCTTTCCAGCATCATTGGCCGTCTTTCCGACGTCTTTTGCCGCCTTTCCTATGGTTTCACCAGCCTTCTTCACTGCGTCCTTAAATGCATCCGCTTTAATGTGGGCATGCTGCAAAAATCATCCAAAAGTTTCAATTCAGAACGAGTAATGTTAGAAGAGTCAAACACATCCAATTAAAATTGATTTATTTATTTATTTTTGAAATTACCAGATGGTTGGATTCCTCTGCAATAGATTCAACCTGCAAAAAGAAAATATATATTGATGAGTTTCAACATTATGATAAAAAAAATAAATTAAAAAATGATGTAAATAGAAGGAAAAAGATAATTTTTTATGTAAGCATTTGGAGGAAGAGAAATTGTTTTATTGGGTTGAGAAAATTGAGCACATATATATGTCCATAGATGTGTAAATTGGTTCCAACGTATCAATGAAGAGGCCACAGATTTGATTGTTGGTGTGTTTTTGGTGAAGTAATTAAAAGAGACGTACCGTTGTTGCGGTGATTAGAAGCAAGCAGGCAAAGAAAATGATAAGAGTTTTGGGTGCCATTGTCAATTTTTGAAGGAAGCACCTAACCAAAAATGGGTGAAAATAAGGCTGTGTGGAACAAGACACCATCAAACTGTGGTATATTATATATAGAAGAAATGTGTGGACTAAATTAAAAGCTTCATTTTTAGTATGTTTATTTCTAGAATTAATTTTAGCCCCTCACCAAAAACAATTATTTTTTAACAATTTGGTTATTAGTGCCAATGTAGATCTTAGATCTTTAAATTATGCTATTTCCTAAACAAAATTTGGCTATTCAAGGCTAATAGACTCTTTCACTTTTGACTTCATTTCTCATCAGAAGTCGTACATTTTCATCATCCTTTGGGGCTTAATTCATGAAATTTATCACATCAGATCAAATAATAAAAATGGAGCACGAAACACCAATACACACACCTAAATGTATCATGATTGCAAATGCAAATTGTGAAATAAGAGGATTTATCAACTTAATGATAGTTAAACAACTATCTGCAGAAAGTCTTACACAATTACCACCTAAATACAACTATGTAGAATAAAGAAAATGAAATCAATAGACTATGAAGCTATCCTTTTTTCGTTCTTTAAAAACAATAAATATATTATAGACACATGGTAGGGCTCCCATATTTATCTTCATACTATGGGGGTAAAAAATCAGAAGTGACAGGGAATAATATCAGGTAGGAGTGACAAGATTTTACGAGGCATGTTAATGCTATTGAAGTACGGTACGAAATAAGTGAGTTTGTATTTAGCTTAATCGTATTCGGGTTATAAGATCCATATTAACACAATAATTAAATGCGTCGTATTCATCTTTGTTCTACCAACATGTTTCAATTAACCCGTTAAATAAACGTATCGTATTCGTATTAAAAATGATTCATTTAATGAAACATGTTAGATAAACGTGCCATGTTCGTGTTAAAAATGACCTAACACGATATTTATATCTTGACATGACATAAACACGACCCGACAATACGAATTGCCACTCCAAGGGTGTTCCGTGATCCAAAGTCTGAACGCAGTCTATCCATTTTCTACCTCATGACCAGGTTGGAAATTGAAATTATCTTTTCATCTCATTTTCTACCTTTGTGACCAAGTTGGAAGTTGAACATTCTTTTCATCGTTTGAGTTAATAATAATAATTTTGGAACAATATTTAAATGGTTTATATTTCTAAATATGAGTTTTTAAAGTTTGAGTAGAAAAACTAGGAAAAAAAATTAAGTTGAAATATAAACGGTGCCAGAGAACTTAAAGTGGTGTTTGCAAAACACTTTTAGGCAGGGATGAGGAATTATTATGTGATTTAATGAGATATTTTATAATCATAAGAAGCCTTTGGAGCCTACTAAAATTGCTGCATCTTACATGGACAAACATTCCAGTACATACTTCCAATTACAAAGGCCACAACCCCTTAGCACTTGGAATAAAGAACTTAAGATACCCAACACCAAGAAGATGTACGCGAAGGGGAAAACTTAATTCACTGGCCTGCCACCTTACACTTTGAACCGGTATCCTCTTTCGTTTCAACCCAATCCCTTTGGGGCCAATCTCAAAGAATTTTTCATACTTGATCTAAGAGCTCCAACACCATCACGATAGACCTTCCAAAAAAAAAAAAAAAAAAACACTATTAATTAACTTAAGGTCATATCATAGTTCATAGTGTGCCTATTTCTCACTAAAATAAATCAGACACCTAGTCATAATTGTTACCAAATTAGTGCACTTAAATTGGTTGGACCATTTAAAGAATCTTACACGACATGTGTGTAGTTGTGCCAAAGTAATTGGAAGGTGAAGCTAAAAGCCTAAAACTGAATTTACTATAAAAGATGAAAGGCCTAAAAACTAGAGCATTTAATTTAAACCCCTAGGAACTAATTACCTGGAATTAAGGGTGGCCAAAGGAAACAAGTCAAAAGTAAAATAATCGAAAATGGGGTTTAGGCTAAAAAAAGGGCAGTGAGAGGTAATTTTGGAACTAAAAATAGCGAAGTGAAGTTTGTACCTGCAGTTTGCCTCTATATATACCTCAGATTCCTTCCTTGTAAATCATCGTCGGCAAAAAGAAAAGAAGCTCTTCAACAACAATACTTGTTTTTTGCCGTTGCAGATTGAAAATGGCACAGAAAATTGCACTTTTCTTGGCCTGTGTGCTTTTAGTCGCAACGGTATAATATTTATTATTAATTAATATGATCCTCCTCCTCAACAAAATCAAATTTCCTTCATTTATCTTTGATAATGTTTCTGAATCTAATCAACATATATATATATATATTTTGCTTTTAATTTCAGGTTGCAACTGCATGGGCAGAAAAGGTAATTTTGACACTACAGGAAGTTGGATGACAACACTGTCATATTCCAAAGTCCCATTTATTAATTTGTAATAATCGATCTGTTGATGATTTGAATTTGCAGAACGAAAAACATATCCATGTGGTGACGAAGGCTTCTGTATCACCGGCGGCGTCAGCACCAACTGAGGGAGCTAAAATTAGTACTAAGCCTACAAAATGAACTAACCTTTTATTCATATATATATGTGTGTGTGTGTGTGATGACTAATGTTGGATGCACGTACACACTTACAGGTGGGAAAAAGTGCGTAGAATTGTGCGAGGACCACTGCAAATCATGGCGCAAGAAGAGAGGGTGTGTGTTCAGCTGCACCACATGCTGCAACAAGCTGAATTGCGTACCAGTTGGAGGCAGGACATGCAGCAACTGGACCAGCGTGACCAAGAAGGGTGAACAGATCAACTGCCCCAAGTCCCCCAAGTAAATTGGAGTTGGAGATTTAAAATGCCTTCACTATCCCATTGCTCTATATAGCATTAAATGTAATCTTGGGCATTTCTATTAGTTCCAATCATATATTGGTGGAATAAACCCCAAGTTGGGAACATAATAAATTTTATTTTTACTTAATTTTACTATTTTATATTCACTATTAATTCTATTCTTTCTTTTGGAGTTTCTAGTACTGTGTGAATGACTACCAACCAATAACACATCTTTTATTGTTAAGTGGGATCAATTAACGATTAGTGTAGCAATGTTGGACAAACTGAATTTTATATAAATGTAATATAGACATCAAATTCGGGAATTTTTTTTTTTTTTAAACATCTAGATCTAAATTGAATCAATGTTTTTTTTGAGAGATTGTCACCGACCACAACTAAGAAATAAATAAATAAATAAATAAAAAATCATTTCAACTACAGCTTAATTTACTCATACAAAGGCATGTAGTCTGGATATATGGTATTGGAGTTCATGTCTCTCTGGATTTGCCCTCGGTTTATCTTTGGTTGCTACAAGTCTACAAGACTACAACTAGAGTGGCAGAAAATTGTAAAATTATCTCAAGTAGTAGAAAAGGCTAATTATTATTATTATTATTATTATTATTATTATTTTTGACCTTTTCAATTTTGACATTTCACAACTGAAAGTGCCACTTATAAACTAAAGCCAAATTTGGTAACAAAGTGCTTTATATATATTCAATTGTCACACGCTATTTAATTTTTTGCCCTGGTAATAAAATACGTAAATGCTTATGGTAAGATACACCACCACCAAATTATAGATGCTTTTGAATTCCAAAAGCTAAAAGTGGACTCAAAAAAGTCATTCCAAATGGCCTCCAAATCTATAGATACAAAGTTTGTAATTTATAAGTATATATATATATATATATATATATATATTTTTTTTTTTTTTTGGTATTTTAAAGTAAAAAAAGTTGATGGATCAAGTTTCATAAAAGTAAATGAGTGTGTTTCTTAATAAGGTACAAAATAAAAAATTTATGAGTCTACAACTAATTGTTAGAGTGGCTCATTCCACATCGGAACCAGAAGGAAAATGAATATATTAGTGGGTATGTAACACTGTCCAACAACTTAAACTGTAGGTCAAAAGGTAAGCGCTTGACTCGTTAAAGTATGTATCAGAGTCGAACGAAATTCTTGATCTAGTGTCACGTGCCAAGGCTGCCAAGCGCCCTCTTAAAAGGTGTTCGGGTCATTTACAGGACTCATCTCACGTATGTAGCACTACCCAATAGCTAAAATTTTTGAGTCAGAATGCATACAACTGACCCGTTATAATTAGTATCAGAATTAGATCCACTCTCCATAGAAGAACACGTTTGAATTATATCCGATCTGATAAGTTCTGTTAGTAAATTAAGAAGTATATTTTTTGTTACAAAATTCAAAATACTTTTTTAAAAAAAATGTGTGAGAAAGAGAAAGGTGAGAGAGTGACCAAGATATTTGATTCTTTATTAAAGGAAAAAAAACAATGATAAGTGAAAAAAAAAAAACCAGAAGAGGAATTAAGAAAATTTGAACTAAAATAATAAATAACAACAAAGAGGTTTTTTTGAATTTTGATTTTTAAAATTTTGCAGGGCAACGTAGAAAAGACATGATTTTTTTTTTTTTTTTTGAAATTTGAAATTTATGTTGGACAAATGAGTTAGAAAATGAGAGGTATTTCTACATTTTGGAAGTTTCTCTTTGGTATTTTTTTTTTTTTTTTTTGTGAAATATTTAGGAGCTCAACCAGGCAAATTTTGTAATTATTAATATTTGTGTGTATAAAATACAAATACTAGAAATTCAATAACAAAGAAGGAATCTTTTCCTAAATTTGATTCTTAAACATGGTTTTTTTTTTTTTTTTTTTCTTTGAATTTTGAAAAACTTATTGGACAAATGAATTAAAAGAATGAGGAATCATTTGGACTTTTGCAAGGTTTCAAAAAGTCTTTTATACGGAGTATTTATTTTAAAAGCTCAGTTGCACCGGGCATATTTAGAATTATCAGACTTTAAGTATAAATATAAGAAATATAAATAAGGGGGAAATTCCAGTGCCATTGCCCCACTGATCCTATCGTGGCTCCTACGTGTATACTACTATGTATATATTTAGATAAAAAAATAAAAATAAAAAAAAAATAAAAAAACCTGTAGCGGGAGCTCTGAAATGAGAAGCAATGCCGAAATGTGAGGCAGATACAAATAACAAACAAAGGCCAAAATTAACTAGAAAAGGGGTAATTGAGCTCAACGAGAATCATGGACAGCCAATTGGGGTTAGCTTGTGGTGGTGGTGATGGAGAGACAATTCTGGAACTAAATATGGAAAGATGAAGCATTTTTGCCTCTATATATACCTCGCCTCCATTCCTTGTAATTCCATCGTCGGTCAAAGAATAGAAGCCTCTTCAACATTTCTTCCGTTGCAGACTTGAAAATGGCCCCCAAAGTTGCCCTTTTCTTGGCCTGTATGCTTGTCATCGCAACGGTATGATCGATCCTCCCTCCTCCTCAACCCACCAAAAAATTCTCTTCATTTATTTTTCATACTGTACGTTTCTGAATCTAATCAACCTTATATATATTTTGCTTTTAATTTCAGGTTGCAACTGCATTGGAAGAAAAGGTAATTTTGATAACTGTACAATTGCAATCAAACAAACACTACACTACATGCATCATTTTAATCAAACAAACACTACACTACATGCATCATTTTAATCAACCAATCAATAATATATATATAATTAATAATCTATTGATTTTTGTAGAGTGATAATCACATCCATGTCGTAAAGAAGGCTTCTGTGTCACCGGCGACGGAGGGAGCTAAAATTGGTACTAATCCTAGAAATTTAACAACCTTTTCATATATATATATATATATATATATATATATATCTTAGACAAAATTAATAATGTGTGATGAGAATTATTTATTAATAACATGAGTTGGGACGTGCAGGAGGTCAGAAGTGCGTAGCATTGTGCGAGGATCACTGCAAATCTTGGCGCAAGAAGAGAGGGTGTGTGTTTAGCTGCACCACATGCTGCAATAAGCTGAATTGCGTACCCGTTGGAGGCATGACTTGCAATAACTGGACCAGCGTCACCAAGAAGGGTGAAACCATCAACTGCCCCAAGTCCCCACCCAAGTAAATTTGGAGATTCAAATGCATGCATGCATGCCACCACCATCATTTTCTTTTTTTGCTCTCTAGATTAAAATGTACCGCAACACATGGTTGGCCATTTGTATTAGTTCCCAATCATGTATTTTGGTGAAACAATTAAACCCTAAGTTGGGAACACAATAAAATTATCTTTTTTCTTAATTGTTTCGTTTCTATTCTATTCTATGTTCGCTAGCAACTGGGATTGCTTCCATTCAATCTATGAGCCATCGGATTTGTGGGTTTTGCCATTTCTTTCTTTTTCCTGAATTAGAGATAATGGATGAAGCATTGATGGCTTCATATATTTTGTGCATGGTATAAAAATTACAGAATCATTATTGAAATATGTCCCATCTGTCTGAGGTAAGTTATTATAAACCTTTTTTAAATCTTTACTTTTTCTTTTATTTATTTTTATTATTATTATTTTTTTATTTTGACAAAAAATTCACCTACTTTTTTAGGCTTTGTTTGATGATACTGGATTCGGTTCGTATTGGAGTTCTTTTTACCATTTGTTTGATGATACTGGCTGGGATTTGTCATCTCTATGGAATTTTTTGCAGTGCCAAAAAAAAAAATCAAATTTATGGGTAACAAGTAACCAACTATGCATTTTATAACACTATAAAAATTCCTCATGTCGGGTCAGCTTGTGGTCTTATGAATCTTGGGTAATGCACTTTACCCGTATATATATTTGTTGGTTGGCTTGTGGGCTCAATCCAATTGATCTTGGGCCAGGCATGTAAATGAGATCAATTCATTTACCAGATCTCTATTCAAAAATTCAAAGCCTGCCTTCCACAATTTTCTCCGGTAGAAAATGAAAAATTCCATCAGAGGACAAACAAACTAACAAATTAACAAAAATTCCGTCAGGTACTTGTAAAAGTGTCTTCAAAAATAATAAAATATAAAAAAAATACCAAATGAAATAGACTAGGGGTGTCAATTTTTACCGTCAAGGTGGGCATGAATACAAATTTTGTACTCGTTGCGAGTCACGTGGCCGGTAAGGGTTCAGTATAGATATCCTCCGAAGCCCCGCCCCGCCCTGCTAAGCATATATATATATATATAATATTAATGACTTATTTGGGATGTAAACTTGGTATTAAATTTACTTTTGCTTTGGTTATGTTCTCCAAACCAAATTATGTTATTACGTGCATGTTATTTTTTTTATTTTTGTTGGGATTCATAATTTCATTTATGTTGTGCTACTCCTAGACTTTCCACTTATAAATAGCAGCGGCTTAAGTCCCAAAAAGTGAAAAAAAAAATTTTGTTAGCGGGGCGGGCATGGGGCACAATATTTTCCAACAAGGCGGGACCTAACCCGTTGAGGGTCGCGGGGTGGGCATGGACTTGACAAAAATTAAATGGGGCTGGGCAGAATTTAGGGAAACCGACTCCAAACCCGCCCCGTTGCCATTCCTAAATTAGACCCTTTTTTAACGGGTTTACCGGGTAGACCCGTCTTAAATAAACCCCTAATAGCAGCCCCTCTCCATCCTCAGCGGCTCAGCCGCCGCCGCCGCCGCCACCACCCATGCCACTCCCCACTCTCTCCCCATCTCTTAGCACCTCGTCGCTCCCCTATCCTCTCCGCACCATTCCCTCTTCTCTCTAGATTTCTGATTCTATCTCACCTCTGAAAATTTGCCAACCAACAAAACAGTATAGAGGTGAATGAGGTCTCCGGCGGTGGTGGTGGAGACGAGGACGAGATAGTCAGAAAGTCACGAACTCAACGATCCTCAGGTGTTTCAGAAAATTTCGGTTTAACCTGTAGCAAAATGGTATTGACCCATTTTTTTAGTATTCCTTACAGTAATATTTTAGACTATTTTAGACAGGTGTCTATATCTTACTTGACCACGCCACCCATCAGGACCAAATCAGTCCTCATAGGACAGGAGGACAAGTTGTCCCTTTCCAAAATACAGTAGATTTGTTTCTTTTGTCCTACTATTTCCTCTGATATCGTTGAGTCAGAAAGTTTCACAGATCAAATCGAAGCCATGGGTGGCGATGGGATCTTGGGAGTGCGACACGTCGAAGCAACAAGATCAGCTACGAACACAATCAGTAGAGAGAGAAAAAAGTGGTCGAAGAGGAGAGAGAGATGGCTGGTGGTTCTTGGGATGGCACTACACGCTGTGTATATGCTCAGCATTTTCGACATTTACTTCAAGACCCCAATCGTCCATGGCATGGACCCTGTCACCCCTCGCTTCGTTGCCCCGGCTAAGCGCCTCGTCCTATTTGTTGGTAAGCATTCCACACCCAACATCTCTCCAACACCATCTGTTCGATGATTTGTCTCAATGAACAACATCAACATGTACCCTATTCTTTCCTGCATCGTTTAACTTTTGTCTCGTTTTAGCTATTGCTTTTGAATTCATTTAATTAAATATATGTTTTTGGTGACAAATGAGACAGACAAATTATATATGAGTTCATCTTCTGCTTAATGAAAGTCGTCCCTATACTTTGGGGTTGTACCTTGCTTAATTGCCTTGAAGAGGTCCTGTTTCTGGGTTCTGAGTTCCGGGTACAATCGTACAAGTTGTAAGACCTGGTTCTTTATCTCCTTCAATGACCAATCACCACATATCTTGTTGGTTTATGGAATTGTTTACAGTATTGTAGTTATTGCTATATGGTTGGTTTTGCTATGACGAGTATGCAAAATTATATTTCTTTTGTGTGTTTCAATTATTTGATTGTTCCTTAAGTTCTTGTTGATTAAATATTTCAAAATTTGACCTGTTATATGGTTTTTCATTTTCTTTTCAAGATAACATATTCTGATATATAAGGAAAAAAACTGTAATGGTTTCATAACTAAATTTGGAGGGAAATTGTAATTGCAGGTGATGGTTTACGGGCTGACAAGTTTTTTGAGCGGGATGTGGAAGGAAATTTCAGAGCACCGTTTCTAAGAAGTATAATCAGAGGACAAGGTCGATGGGGAGTATCTCATGCTCGTCCTCCAACAGAATCAAGGCCTGGACATGTTGCTATTATTGCTGGTTTCTATGAGGATCCGAGTGCAGTTACCAAAGGTAGATTTTATTGCTATGAAGCATGGACATGGAGAGAAGACATAACACATGCCAACACGGCAGAAATCTTAAGAAAATAGGAGGCAACAAAGAAACACTACCCTAGTACCTTTTGATAAGTAAAGTTAATATTATGTGGATGTGACATGGAATTTATGAATAAAAATAATCAGTAATCACTATTGTAGTATGTATGCAGACATAATAAGAACATGATAGGACATATATGTGTATGCATATGTGTGAATAAAATTAACACTCCCACTCGCATATCTAAAATTTTGATATATTTATATTTCTTTTGTTATTTAGAACATGGCTATGCTTTTTATATATATTTTTCGTATACGTCTTAATATATATTTTTTTCTTGTAATTTTACTTCTTTTCTATGCTAAAAAAAGTTATGTCTAACATGCAAGGTCCATCACTGAAAGTTGGCGAGTTCCAACAATGTTCCAAAATAAAGTTTATTTTAAAATTGTGGGCAGGTCCAAGATATGTCAATCACGTGCCGAAAAGTGTCTGGGACGTGGCAATGTTCGTTATTTGTCCATGTCCTACACGAATATGGCTCATATTTAGTAGTGTTTGTGCTTCTTGCTCTTTTCTGTTTTCCTAATTTTTATTCTAGCGCTATGTTATATTGTCTCAATTATGGGTATCAGGTGCAAGTGTATGTCCAATTGTTAGATTTATCAAATTTTGAAATTCAAGAACACAGTGATATGGCTAAATATTAATATATATATTTTATTATATAGTTTCCAGAACTCAAGGAACTTGATAATAACAGAACCATATGCATAATATGGTGAACTTAGATTATCAAAATTACTCATTAGGTTCATGGAATCATGCCCACACATATACCATTCCCATTCTTATTTGTCATGCATCTTACACAATTATTTTACACATTTATAAGAGTGCATGTAACTAGATGCTACCTTAACAACACCACTGAAGTGATTTTGCAGCGTTGATATTTCAGTGAATGTATCACCAGTGAAGTTCATTTATACCAGGGAACACATTCTGTCCACTCATAAAATCCATCCTTTTTGCAGGATGGAAGGCAAATCCTGTGGAGTTCGATTCAGTCTTTAACCGCAGCCGGCATACATTTGCATTTGGTAGTCCAGATATAGTTCCAATTTTCTGTGGTGCCTTGCCACATAGCACCTGGAATTCATATTCTCATAAGCTTGAAGATTTTGCAACTGGTCCGGTTCAATCTCTGATCTCAATTTGTTCCATTCGTGGAAAGTTATTTCTGGTTGCTGTTCTTTAAGTTGGGTGTATTACAAGTTCACTCTTTGTCTTTTTTTTTTTTTTTTTTTTTTTGTTTTTTGAAGTAATAAGTGAACTATTGAGTACTTCTATAAAATATGAGTGTGTGTACCAATGTGTGTATGTACATCTTAGTTATTATGTCTTTTTATTGCACAGTTCTTTCTCATTTTCTAAATTGGGTACCTGATGCCAATATGCATCCTTCACTCTTCTCTTGATTACATTTGACAAAAATCATGTCACTAAATTTCACACGATTTGAAATCTCTTTAGTGAGCACTTGATCCATGCCTTTATCCATCTTCAATATTACATGTCAATTTAAAATGCTTGCTGTGAATTGTTGAATGTCAAGGGCTTCTATTGCTGTCTGGTTATGTAGAAAGTTTTGCTCTAAAGTTACTAAATGTTTTTTTTTTCTCTTTGCTATTGAAACTCGACCAAGGTAATTTGTCCAAATCAATTTTGGATTGATCTGGAATGCTTACATAAACTACTTGGGTTCATCTGTTCACTTGGGTGAATTTAGAGAGTGCTTATCATGTATATGGAGGGTTCTGAAATTTTCTTATTTTAATTATCTTTTTATCTCTCATTGAAGAAGTTTTTTTGATCTTCCTTAAAGAATAGAAACATTAAAATTTTGTGGGTTTTGAGTTTAATATCATCCAGAATTTCATACCGTACCTCCCTTAACTCCTAAATGTGGGCATGCTTTAAGTTCCTTATCCATTGAACTGGATAATAATTCATGCACATCACTATTCATACCCAGTGTCACTTTCATATTGTGCTAACATTTACATACTATGTTGTTGTGAAGTTGGATCATAGAACTTTTCATTTTTTTTTCCTTTTCCTAGCTTAGTGCTCTATCCGTATGTTAAATCTGTTTCTTAAAAAATAAAGTAACATAATAACAGGAACCATTTTTTTCTTCTTATTTTATGTGTTATCTTCTTTAAATCTCACGTTAGTCCATGTTTTATCGACTCAATAGTGTTCATGCAGATGCATCATTTTTGGATGAGTGGTCATTTGATCAATTCCAGAGCCTCTTGAATAGGTCCAACGAAGATCCAAAATTGAAGCAGTTACTTCTACAAGATAATCTCGTCGTATTTCTACACCTACTCGGTTGTGATTCAAATGGTCATGCACATCGGCCCTATTCATCTATCTATCTTAATAATGTAAAGGTTGTTGACCGTATCGCTGAAAATGTTTATAATCTTCTTGAAAATTATTTCAAGGACAATCGTACAGCATATATTTTTACAGCTGATCATGGAATGAGCGACAAAGGTAGGATTAATTTAAGCCCACAATACATTCCTTTGCATTCTTTTGGTTCATTCTATATATTTGCTAATTGTGTTTAAATTATATGCAATTTTTTTCTTACGAATCTGGTCAAAGCTTTGTCAAATGCATGCTGAAATGTCAAAATTGTCTAGTTACTTTATGCTTCATCTTTATAATGCACAATTTACTTTGTAAACTCAAAGAGAAATTGCAAATTGGCAGGGAAACAAGCTAAACAAGCTATATTAAGATTTCAGACTACCCCATCTCCATTGATAAATAAAAAAAAAAAAAATTGTATTAAATGATTAATTTACTGATTTCGGACTCCCCAATCTCCATCGATAGATAAAAAAAAAATGTATTAAATGATGAATATACCTTCTTGAATAAAATATTCTAATTTCATTGCATAATCTTAAATGCACCATGACAAAATACCTTGAAAGCAAACAACTTGATAAGACATATATATCATAGTTCTGACTTCTGGTGAGGGAAATGCCTTGCTTTAAATAGAGCGCATCCGTGAGTTTCGTCAAATCTATCTATCTTTGGTTTTGAAAATTTCAGTCACAGAATAACGTCTGTTGGACTGGTCTACTACGTACAATTCAACTGGAGGAAGTATGAAAAATATGTGATATTCTTTTCTGTGTACATCGTCATCTTCAAACCTGTCTGCACCAGCTCAACTGAAATTGCTGTTGTTTTACTTCTTTGGCTATATGTAATTCTCTTATGAGGATGGAGGCATTCTTTGCCTTTCACCTAACCTAAGTAGGAAAGGTCTAGAGCCAATCCCAAGGGACAATAAAGTTCCATATACCCAGGTACAAGTAGTCCACATCTTCACAAACATTTCTATTTCACAGAGCCTTGAACTGGAGGAATAGGCTCTTTTCACCCCTTAATTGGTTTCTCTAAAGAATGTATAGCATACAAACTGACCCATATGGATATGCCCCGCGGTTTCCCAACAAAGTCTCATCCTGCTATGTGGTAACCAGCTGTCTCATCACCTGGGCGACCTATAAGGCCTCCTAGGAATTTGACGACATTGGGACAAGCCAAGCTGACTTGCAAAAACACCAGAGCTAAGCTCGAGCTCAGTATCCAGAGCTCGTTAGGAACCCAAGCCGAGCTAGAGTTGAGCCCATGAACAAGTGGAACAAAATGGTCTTGAACTTAACTCTGCTCAGCTCAACTCATGAAACATATGTTTTAGTTATTTACTACATTTTATTACTTCTTTATATTTGTAATTTTTATTATATTTTGTTACCTTCTTTTATCTATAAATTGTATGAAACTTTTTAAAATTATTGAAAGAAGGTCGAAGTTCAAGTCCCCGTAGAAACAAAGTGGATGTGTGAGTTTCAAAAGTAGTAGAAAGAAAAAAAAAAAAAACAAAAACAAAAACTATTACATATATGTTCGCAAGCCAAGCCTTAAGCTCTGGTCATTTAGTAATTGAGTTCACGGAGACTGGAGATCAATTCAACATGAGCTGAGCCTTAATGAACCAAAGTGAAACAGTTTAATGATGAACTCTTCCACTTGTTGCCCTATTCATGTTGGAAAAAGAAGTTACAAATATTTCTTTGCCTGTTCTAAAAGGAACCTTTGGTGGCTTCACTAGGTGGTAGAAAGTATACAGTGCATACTTTAGTGAAATTTTCATGTGAACTAGGAGTACATTATGAACAACATTTTACAGTGCCATTGGATGGCCCATGGAATCTGCATTCTGTAAACAATTATAATTTTTTTTTTTGTTGTAATATTACTAAACTTGGCTGCTATCTTTTAAAGTATTCATCAACTGTAAATTATAAGCTGTGTATGCACATCTACACGGATCAAATTACCAAATATTATGTTAAAAACTATAATTATGAATGTAAGGCATATGATTCCTTTAAATGCTTAAAACCCAGTTTGGTCTGGTTGTAAACCGGTTTGATTAGGCCTTAAAAACCTCGGTACATGAGAGCTCATCTGACCATAGTTTAACATATCTAAATGTTTGCCAGTCATATCAGGTGGTTTCTTTGATTAACTATATATTTAGCTAGACTTTGGGTATGCAAATTTAAAAAAAAAATCAAACTAATAGTATGTTCTAAGTGTTTAAATTCATTTTTCCTATATGCATTGGATAATCTCATATATTTATAAAGGGGCATTTTTCTGGTTGGACCAAAGGTTGTCAAAAGTTTTTACACTGCCAGACTACTTCAAATGGTGGCAATATTTGTGGTTATTTTATTGGTTCCTGGTCCTTGATATCTGATTGGCGCTAAAGTTTATGATGGGGACATCTGATGTTTTAGTGTCCATGTGATTGAGATTCTGACTAATTTTGCTCTACTGATAGGAAGTCATGGAGATGCGCATCGTTCAAACACTGATACTCCCCTTGTTGCTTGGGGAGCAGGTGTTAGGCATCCCATGCCTGTGTCCAGCAACAAGCATTCTGATTATGGTGTTCGCTTTGTTGATCAACATATGCATGACATGCCAACTCCTACAGAATGGCATCTCAGTGATATAGAAAGGCTGGATGTTAATCAAGCTGATATTGCACCACTGATGGTTGTACAGTTTGTCTCCTCTGGAATTCTCTGTTCAAGCCTGATCATGTCCTTTTAAGTGTGCTCAAATTTTAGTTTTCTTATGTACTTTTTAAATTTTTGGCAGTCAACCCTTCTTGGTTTGCCATGTCCATTGAACTCAGTTGGAAATTTACCCCGTGGTTACCTCAATTTTAATGAGGTGAGTTGTGCTAGTTTAATTGATAGATTGGTGTTATTATTTGTGGCAAACATGACTTTTCTTCATCATGGGTGTAGAGTTGAGTTGTATGATTGAATTTCCATCTTTTTTCAATTTAACTGGTTGAAATTTAGATTAATTTGGTGAAAAAGTAACTGGGATTTTGCTTATTTTATGTCCAGGCAGAAGAAGTTGAAGCTGTGCTAGCTAATACAAAGCAAATTCTTAATCAGTTTCTTCGGAAGTCAAGTATCCTTTCTGAATTTTATGAACTGTAACAAGCATAACTTTCTTGAAGCTTTTGCACTGCTTCTCTTAAATTTCCATCTAATGTGACTGAAAACATGAATAACTTTTTTTCTTCTTTTTCTTTATTATTATTATTATTATTATTATTATTTTTACTTTTTATTTATTTATTTTTTTAAAATTTTTATCCTGATCCGAAAAGAAAAGTTATTTCATGAAGTTTTGTTTGATATTCTCCATCATTTATGTTTGTCCAATTTTCATCTTTATATGATTTATCCTTTTGGGTTTATGTGGAAGGGTAGAGAGGAGGGCTGGGATTGGGAATGAGTTTGCTATTTCCCATCAATTTTCTTAACAGAACTCAGAACTGAAGCAGTCAAGCTCATTTCATTTCAAGCCTTTCAAGCCACTGGCCCATTATTCTTCGGTTTTGGATCAAATTGAGGATCTAATATCTGTTAAAGACTATGAGGCTGCGATGAAGCTATCAGAAAACCTTAGAAACTTGGCATTGGAAGGACTTCACTATTTTCAAACTTATGATTGGCTGATGCTAATGACCGTGATTACTCTTGGCTACTTTGGTTGGATGGTCTATCTTGTTCTCCATGTGCTGCAATCTTATACTTCCTTGCTAGGAAATTTTTTCCGAAATGAGGAAGCAGTTCATCCAAGAAATACTGGAAAGGTAATGCCTTTTATTGATTAAAACTTTAGTAAGATATATGTATAATTTGCGCACAAAAGAGCAATAGGAGACAGAGAGAAGGAGGGAGGGATGGAGGGAGGGAGGGAGGGAGGGAGAGAGAGAGACAGACAGACAGACAGACAGACAGAGACAGAGACAGATGTGGTAATGCTGTTGTCACTGGAACCATGAACAGAAATACAGCAATAACAAGGCAGAGATGAGTAAGGGGTAAAGAAGACAGACTCTGGGGACTGGTGTGTTCACTTCCCCCTTCCCCCCACCTTCTTAATTTAATAGAGAGAAGGACCAAGATTCTTCAATGAGCCTGTTAGGGACACAATTGACTTTTCAGAAAACTAACCATGCTGTGGAAATATGAAATTCGTTTCTACCAATAACAGCTAAGGTTTTTTCCCTAAGGATATATTTCTATTGAATTCTCAGTTATGATCTGCATCATCTTGTCATATAGTGCATTCAGCTTTTACCACATTGCTCCAACTAATTGGTGCAATCATTGGTTAGTTGCAAACAACTGCACTATCTTATTTGAATCTTCTCTCTTTCTAAAAGGTGCAACCTCTAACTTCTCAAAAAATAGGTCCTCCTTATTCCCTTCTTGCATTTAAAGAATCTAATCTATCTCAAAATCATGCCTTATCTTTACTGCCCTAGCATTTCATATCTTAAAATGTGTCGGACCTTAAAGATGCTTGCTAAAATTGTCCTTAAAATTAAATAGTATGATTATCATTGATCAAAAGAGATTGCTCAAACTTCATTTCATCCCTGCTCAAAATTTAAATTACAAGCTAGATATTAAAGTTGCCTACGATACAAGAACTTATATAAGGATGTCGTCCCGATCCAAAAGGAGTTGCTGGAATATTCGGCAATTGCCTCTGCTTCTATGTTACATGGACTCTTTAAAAGTCGTGAAGTAACCGTGTCGGACACATATTGCTCGGACATGGGTATGTGATGTAGGGCAAGAACAACCTCTAATAGTTGAAAACAAATAAGAGTTTTGGGCTGAAAATTCAGAGAAACAGATTATGGTTCATGACCCTTGGGTTACCCCATAATTGAAGTAATCAAGACTTGACTCTATAGCATAATAAAAGTAATCAACCCATAATTGAGGTAATCAATATTTGACTCTAAGATTACCCATAATTGAGGCAATCAATACTTGACCCCTAGATTACCCCATAATTGAGGTAATCAATACTTATCTGATAGCATAATTAAAGTAAATAAAAGTTGACCAATGCTCCCAATTTTTCAGAACTCCGTGTGGACCCATATTATCTATAGCCTATGCCACCTTGAGTCTTAGAATCCTCCTTTTTGCGCCTTTTATACACCTTTAAAGATTTCTACCATTGATCTCCATCAATATGGGAAATATGTCCGATACTTTGGTTGAAAATTTACTTAAAAAGCATACCCAACCATTCAATTTTATTATATTATTACTTCTTTTTTTTTTTTTTTTTGATAAGTAAAATGTATTAGAAATCGTTCAAATGGGGAACGCTTCCCAAGAACCATACAGAGGCCGAAGCCAAAGACAAGTTTCTAAGGACCCACCGAATGCAAAAAATTAATAAAGTCATCAATGGATATACAATTTCTCCCCAAAACCCAACTAAAAAGAAAGCTGATAATATGAAACTTCAATGCCCCTAAGGAAGATTCCTTCCCTTCAAAAGATTTTCTATTCCGCTCATTCCACAAGCACCACCAAACACAAAGGGGAACCACCCTTCAACACTCACGGGCGTGGGCTCCCACACTACAATCTCGCCAAGCATCAATCAAACCCCTCGAGGACCAAGGCATAACCCAATGGATGCCGAAAAGGCCAAAGATAAGGCTCCAACAGTCGTGAGCTACAGGGCAATGCAAAAGAAGGTGATCCACAGACTCGCCTCTCCTCTCCTCTTGCACAAATAACACCAATTGATTGTAATATGTCCTCTCTTTTATAAATTATCCAGGGTCAAAATCTTGCCCCAAACAGCAGTCCAGACAGAGAAGCATGGATACATACCTGTACCCGACACACGTACCCGAGTCCGTGTAGACCTGCTTTGACTGACTTCTATGTGGTGAGTGACGTGCCAGAAGAATCCATCTTGTAAATTACGTTACAGAGTGATATATATTGTTGGATTGGATCACATGCCAATTATGCTCATATATAAGATAGAATCTCTCTATTTATTTAGAGAGGGAATTCTGGTTTTTGGATGGGATGGTGGGTTACAGTAGATACTGCCAAACTCCTTACAATGGAAGACATTTTCTTTGTTTCCGCCTCGAGGAGAGAGGTGGCGGTGGGGAGTGGGGTTTGTATGTGGTGGATAATTGCAATACAAACGGTGTTGTTCAGACACATAACCAATAACCATTAGCCTCAACTTTGGAGGTAACAGGAGATACCACTCAAGCTCGGAATCAATTGCCTTTTTGAGGTAAACATGTGTGTAGATTGTCTCTCTTTGATGAACACTCCCCAAATGATAATGGTGCTTGTGTTAATATTTGGTTGTCACCAGCTTTAAGCACACCTGTTTGGATTTGACTTGTTGTGATAATGGTTCTACATAGGAAGGTCGTGTTCTAATGCAATGCCACGTAGCCTTGAATAGGAAGGGGAACATCTGATGGTCTTCTTTTGCAATGATAGATTTTTAGGAGGCTTGAACAAATTTACTTTAAGTTACCGATTAGAAGAGAATGTAAGAGAGGAATTATTTGAGGTGTCTCCCCTTACTTGAAACGAGGATCTTATCACTTGAGTTGACTTCTGAGTTTCTGATTCATCGAAATTAGTAATGGACTCCAAGCTAACATCAAATTCTCCCAAAAAAAAAAAAAAAAAAATTGGTTCCTTGTGGGTTTTGCATTAAATGATTTATATAACTTTACCTCCTTTTCTTTTCTCGTCATCTTCTACCAGTTTTCCAAACTTCATCTTAAGTGCCCTTTAGGGATACCATTCTCTTTATGTCATTTCACGATCCTAGTCAGTTTGGACGAATCCGCATTCATTGAACCTAAGTTTACATATCCGTTGCCATATGAATTAAATTTAGATAGAGTTGGTGTTTGTGTGGCTTTCAATTAAAAACCTTTATATAATGTCTGATTTCCTCATTCCTTCACATTTGTAAAATTCATCATTTGAATTACTGACATTCTTGCTTCTAATTATCCTTACATTTGTAACTTTTTTCCTTCTCTGTGTCAGGTATATTTATGTGGATATCTTTTAATGGGATTGGTTTTTTTTCTACTACTTTTGGAGCATTCTCCTCCCCTTTATCATGCATACGTTGCAATGACGATATTTCTCTGGACACAAATATTTGGTGAATATCGGTTTCTAAAAGCATTATGGAGACATTTACGTGGGAGAAAATCCAATTATATCCTTAAACTTGTAGGCACTTGTGCTCTTTCGATATTCATTCTTGAATTCCTGGTATGGCCGCCTAACATACTGCAATCTGTCCTTCAATTAACCGTGATAGTGGATCATCCTAATTATTATTTTCTGTACCTTATGCAGGTGAATAGCTTTACTGATAGAAAGCTCTACACTTGGTGTTTCTTGATTACTGGTATCATCGCTTCAAGTTATCTTTTTCATTCAATCCCATGGAAATCTGGAATACCAATCTTTGTGTGGGTTGTGTGTTGGTTTTTGTCCGTCTTTACTTTAATGCCAGCTGAAATTCCTGATAATACTCCATTAGTGTAAGTCACCTTCATTGAATCTGTCCCTTCTCACTTATCAAAAAAAAATGCCCCTTCACTTTCACAATTTTGAAGTCTGCCATTTGCTTTCTTGATTATGAACTCTTTGAATTGACAAAATTTCCTTGAAAGTGGATGTTGAAGGTAATTGGCACCTCTGCATTTTAGACTGTAAATTGAACCATGTGCGTTATGAACAGCTTGAGCCCAGCTTGCTTAAAGCTCATTCAAGCTGTCTCCTGAAGCTTGTAAAGCAGTGCTTGAGACCAAGATGCAAGGCTCGATTTATAGTTGAGTGAGCTTAAGTAGGAGTATGTGCTGCTGAGTAGGGCTTGACGATAGTGGGACGTTGGATTTCCCTCTTGCACAAGCAATGCACACTCAAAAAACCTTTTCAAGTGCTCAGAAATAAAATGAGTAGGCAAACATTCTAGTGGACTCGTGATGTTTATTTGTGTAAATTTCCAACTTACAATCAAGACCGAGGTTGAATATTTTTCCCAATCGAAATAAGTGATCTTATTGGTGGCTGACCCTTAGGGTGTGACAAATGGAATCCTTTGAACTCTGGAGTTTGTGACACTAAACTCTAGCAGAATGGCGCTTTTATAAGACACTTAAGCTTTTCTAACGACAAAATATGCATTTGAATGCTATGTTGACACCTGTAAAGTGGAATTTTTTTGAGGCTGTAACTTTGCCATTGATATTTTGAGATCTCAGTTCATACAGAGGTCTCTAATTTTTTATTTTTTATTTTATTTTTTTCAGCTTTAGATCACAGAGAGCCCAAACTTATAATGTTATTACTGAGTGAAGTTGAGCAGGGCTAACTAATGTAACTCTTAGCTTGAGTCCAGCTTAAAATGAACAAGGGTCAAACAAGATGAGTTTGAGCAATCAAGACAAGGCCGACTTAACTCCAATAGTTCTTGTTAGTTACTTTATAATTCATGGGCAATGAACCGACTTCTATTTAATTTTTATTTTGTGGCTGATTAATTTATTTTTGTTGTGGTAGAAGCAAAGGGAGGATTCGTTATTTTAGTTTGTTCCTACTTTTGTGAACTAGTCCAAATAACTTAATTTCTAACATCTGGATATAGGAAAAATAGCATTTGAAAGTTAAATATAGGCCAAATACCCAACATTTGGTTACTTCATTGAATTTGTTCGTAAAATAATTACGTGGAAATATAAAAATAAAATAAAAATGAAGAGATACTTTTTAATGGTTTTGTGAGTAAAAGAGGTTCACTCATGTCTTAATTTGCTCATACTCAGGTTTGGTTCTTTACCTAATACATTTTTATTATCTATCAAAAATTGGCATAGCATTGGAAAGGAACTTCTTTGTCCAATTGACAATTATAAATAATATAATTTTTCCTTCATGGTAGGATTATTCAAAGAGTAACCACGCCAAATGTACATCGTTTGAGGAGTTGTTAAAACTCAGTCCCCTTGCATTTCAATTGCATGGTATGTTTGAGGTTTAAACAAAATGAGTTTCTATCCCAATGGATTGCATGCAGTTGATTGTAGTTTTTAAGATTTGATTGTTTTGCTTATTCATTTTTTTGGGATTAATACTTGATTTATCATATGACTACTTAACGAAATAAAATATGAAAACAGTGCACAAATTTAGTATCAACTTGCTTGAAATCAGTGTTATTTTTTGGTAAGTAATTGTCACTGATTTGTTTACATTTTTAATTTTGTCCATAGCGTTGCAAGTGGAGCTGTGATTGTTATGCTAGGAGGAGTTGCAAGGTACCTGGATCTGCATATTGAAAGGAACAAGTATTGGCTTAGTCTCCTTAATCATGAATCAGAGAAACCCAGGTTTCCCATGCTCTTCCACATGCAGGTCTGTAATGTATTGTTTACATTGCTGAACTCAGAAGTGTAAACATTTCCTATATGAATTGTTCTGAACATATTTTTTGCTACATTAAATCTATAGGCCTTTTTGGTGGGGTTATCATCAGTCATGGTACCTTTATCAACATCTCATAGAATGGAAAAGCAAGAACTGCATGCATTGCACCAATTGATAAACTGGTTCATTGCTGGTATAGCTCTTTGCTTTCCCTCTTTGGTTAATGTTCTTCTTACTTGAATTATTCATGGCTTTGCAATGATGGTGGAATCATCTCCTCTTTTTTTGGTTTTTTTTTTTTTTTTTGGGGCGGGGGAGGGGGGGGGGGGGGGGGGGGGGGGGGTGGGGGGTGTGTGATTAACCGGTGTTCTGCATAGTTAGGATAGCTTCCTACTTTCCCATGGAACACTATATGGCGCTCTAAGGCTCCACTTAGAGTAGCATTCTTTGTTTGGACTGCCGTCTAGGGTAAGATCTTGACATTTGACAACTTGAGAAAGAGAGGCAACATTATCATTAATTGGTGTTGTCTATGCAAACGAGATGGTGAGTCTGTGGATCACATTCTTATGCACTGTCCTATGGCGTACGATTGTTGGAACCTCATCTTCGGCATATTTGGCGTACATTGGGTAATGCCTCAGTCTTCCAAAGGATTGATTAACGCGTGGAGAGGATGCCCAGTGAGAAGCCATGCTCACTATTCTTGGAGGATTATTCCACACTGTGTTTGGTGGTGCATATGGAAAGAGAGGAATAGCAGAATTTTTGAAGGAATCGCCTTTGGCGACCTTGAAACTTTATATTCTTCGCTCTATTTTTTATTATGTGAAAGGAAGCGCCTGCTCCTCTACTGATGACTTAGTTGATCTTTTGGACTCTATAGGTCCTTAGGTTCAGCTTTCGTTTTTTGTATTAGGGACGCGTTCCCCTTTTGAACTCTTTTCTAATCAATTATTACTTATCAAAAAAAAAAAATTATCATTTAGGATAGCTATTGACGAAAGCTATGAGACATTCACGAATGAAAGGGTTAATTCTGCTTGTGCAGTACATGCTTATTTATAATAGAAAAAACCTAATACTGTAAGGAAACCTAGCAGCAAAAGGAAACTAAAAACACAAGGTAACTTAAAAATAAGCCTAAAAATCAGTTCTCTCTAAAAATGACGAAAAAAATAGAATAAGAAACATAATCACTAAAAACTACCGTATAAAAATTCAGAACAATCTGAGTTCATTTAGACCACGAAAGAAAATCCTGAAATAATCGACAGGCCTCTTATAGGACAGAAAAATTGGATTTCAGAGTCCTAAATGAAGGTTTTCAGCCGAAAAACAATATGGCACACTAGCTAAAGCTAATGGGTTTTGCTCAATGGGTCGTTTCCACCATAAAAAAAAACACTCCTTTCAGGTCGAAAAAGGACTTATCGAACTGACCAAAATTCTGTGCTGCATCAGCTATGTTTTTTATTTCATTGGCATGAGACTCAGTTAATTTAAGCCATAGACTCTATGTTAGTGCTTGTTGTTTTGTGATATGAATAGCATTACTAATGTGTCAAAAGAGAAAGTGGATTATGGCAGGAAACATGATGATTTCCAGACCAAACTGTTCTAATCAGTAAACGTATGAACTGATCTATTAGTTGTAACCAGCAATTATGGATAATAAGCTTCAGATAGTTTATAAGACAACATTATGCGTTTATCTGAAGTTACCTTTACATTTCTTTTCTCACAGGTTTCTCAATGGTTCTCCCGCTGTTCTCAGCAACTGGCCTCTTGTCCCGACTAACTTCTATATTTCTTGGTTTGGCTCCCACATTCTTACTTCTATCAATCGGGTATCTCTCATTTATAGATCACTTCCATTATAGTACTAATCAGACAGTTTACAGTTGTCTGGATATTAGAAGTATTTTGTGAAATCCCTGCAGATATGAAGCTGTCTTTTATGCTGCACTTGCTCTTGCACTTATGGCGTGGGTACTATATGAAAATGCACTCCTCCATATAAGTAAGGTGAAAATACCTTCGGCCAAAACTGTTGAGGATAACAACATTCTTGAAAACGATGACAGATGCCTTCAGTTGTCCCATATGAGAATTCCATTAATCTTTGTAAGACACATCCTTCTTTCATTTTTTATCTTTTCTCTCTCATCAATATGTAAACGTCCTTGGTATTTTCTTTTTAAACACTTCCATAACTATCAAGTTTTGGCATATGTGATTTTTTGTTTTATGTGATATTAAAATAACTTATCTGTTTGGTTATATTTTTTGGAAATTTCGATTAGATGACAAATTCATATTTCTGTTATGCTTCAATCAAATATAATTTATATTACATGTAATACCTCCCAATTTAGGGTGCTTAAGATCCTAAAAACTATTTATTCTCTTTTCAAAGATGTGAGCTTTTATGTCAGAATGTTTATTTGTGAGGGGTACAGGGATGCAATGTAAGGTTTGCATATCATGTGTTATGCCCTAATATTGTTCGCTGATCTTTTATTCTCCTTTTGTTCAGCGCCCGATATTGTTCACTCTGCTGTGATATTTTTCCATGTATATTTTTTGACATGCAATCCTTAATTGTAACATAGTTTTGTCTTATAAGTTCTCTATGGAATCCTATTTTTTCACATTCTTTTAAATTTGCGCTCAAGGAATCTGGTTCCATTGATCTGCAATAAAAATTTTAGTAACTTGTTTTCTATAAAGTGGTGCATTGGAATTCCCTGTTATTTGCAGCAATTCTTTCCTGTTTGTTTTGTTTAATATGACAATTGAATTGTTTTGGTACTAGTGTAATTTCATTGGTTTAAACACTCTCTATGGAATTTGAAGTGAAACTCGTCACTGAAATGGATTCATTGAGAAAAATAGGGAACTTCCTTGTTTCATGACATGTGGCCATTTCCTTGAATTGAAAATATTCTTTACTTTGCATTTTATTGTTGAGTGGCTAACATTATCTTATATAGCTCCTTTTAAGACAATAGGTTTCTCTATTGAAATGCCATTTTAGCGTTGATGGGTCCATTCAATACTAGGAGATGTTTCAAACACACTTAAAATTTAAAATCTTTATGAGATTTCAAATGGTTGTCACATTTATATGGCTCTAATCAGTTTTATGCTTTTAGATGGTCTTATTCAATGTGGCATTTTTTGGAACGGGTAATTTCGCAAGTATTGCAAGTTTCGAGATTTCATCCGTCTATCGTTTCATCACAATATTTAGTGTAAGTAAAAGGTTGAATATCTTAAGCATTATTTTCGGTTTCTTCGTGGATGTTGGATATTGATCTGATATGATTTGCTTTACATTGCAGCCATTTTTGATGGCAGCCCTACTTATTTTCAAATTGTTTATACCATTCATGCTAGTCATGTAAGTATATATCCAGCATTTATTATTTAATTCCTGGCTATATTCTCTGTTCAAACTCATTAGCTGACTAATAAAGCATTTTGTAAAAAATGTTTCAGTGGCAGGAATAATGAAGTGCTCACTCATTGTAGCTTCTAGTTTATTGTAGTGTAAAATTTCGTCTAAATTCTACTTTAGCCCTGTGATTGCAATAATTATCCATTGCTTCGTTTTTCCCTTCACAGATTAATTCAACTGTCAATGTAATGGTTCTCTATCTTTTAAGTTTCTATCTTAGGAAGTTAAGCTCTCAAATTGATCTTTAATAAATTAGAAATTTTCACGACCATGTGGGTGTATATTTGGATCAAAATTTCACATGATCATTATTAGACTCTGGTATTTAATATCTGATTTGTGTGATACTCGATCTTTATTCTCATGTTAAACTTCCTTTCTTTTTTTTCTTGTTGGGGATGGAAATAGGGTTAGAGGTGGGGCTTACTAACGCAACTCTTGTATGATATCAGCTGTCAGGATAATTTTCAAGTGGCTCCAAATATATATTATTTTAAAAATAAATAAATAAAAATAAAAATTCCCTTTTGCAGTGTGACTGGAAATGGGGATTCAAATGGGGTTATATTGAACTTCTCTTATGTGCTATCAGTTCTGATGGGCTAAACTAATTTTCAAACCACTGCCACAATTTTATATTCTTTTTATTTTTGTCTTCCTTGTCTTTCTTTATTTATAGTTTCCTATCTTGAGTATTAATTTAGAGTACTATAAATTGATGATTTTGAGAGACAACATATGGCTTGATGAGATGCAGACCTATCTGAACCTCAATGAAGATTCTCTCCCCTAAACTGTCAATGAGGCTGGGATTGAAAATATGGCAAGAAGAACCTAAATGTTAGTGGAAATAAATAATTTGTAATTTTTAAGAACTTTATAATGGGCTTGAACTAGTAAAGACTAATGAACTTAATTTGGCAAGCCAGAGGTTCCCCATTAGGTTCATTATATTTATAAATGAATAGGTTTCTGAATTGGGTTTTAGAATTTCTTCAGTTCTCATGACAAAGTAATTACTAGAAAGAAAATGTGGTTCAACGCTTGTTAACAGGAAAGATATATTTTAAATATGAAATTGGGTATGCTGTCAGGTCACGTCAGATATATATATATATTTTTTGGTGTTGATTACATTACCATCAGATTTTTGTACTCTTTTCGCAGAAATCCTTCATGTTGTAGTTGGTGTTCCACTGAACCAAAGAGTTATTGCTGTCCAATGTGTGAAAATATTGTACTCTCTTTTATTCTTCTGTACTAATAATAAATTGTGGTTTGTATTTTGCTTGCCATAAATCTGAATGCAGATGTGCATTTAGTGCAATAACCAAATTAATCGGAGTTCCACGGCTGGGATGCTATTTTCTCGTTATATTGTGTTCTGATGTAATGACAATTCACTTCTTCTTCCTGGTATGGTTATTCGTATTCTTCTAATAGCATTCTTTTCTTGATTCAATATATTCTTTTATTATTACATGTCCTATTCCAATTAGAAGACTGCAAATTCTTCTTCTTCTTTTTTCAATTTATTGCAATAAACAAATTACTTTTATATCAGCATTCTAGATTTAAAATTTGTTCTTAGTTGTTATTAATGTCTTACCCTGACACGTACTTTCAGTCGTGATAGGTGATTATGTATGTATTGTTTTTCTCTAATCTGGATTGATCATGATTATGTATTTCAGCCCATGCACCTAGTGGCTTCATCTCGCCAGATCTAATCTAATATCTTATATCCACAGAATGATATTGTAGCAAAGAACTTGTAATGTTTCATAAATCACTAATTTAAATCAGGAATCAAGACTCTTTAAGTCTTTTACATATTTGTTTTATTTTTTTGTGCTTTTTTTTTGGGGGGGCTGGTGGGAGGAGGGGTAGGAGTACTTTTGGTAAGAGAGGTAGGAACCGTTATATTCATCCTTTCTATGAACTCGTCTGATTGATATTCTGATTGGTAACAGGTTCAAAATACAGGAAGCTGGATGGAAATTGGTAATAGCATCAGCCATTTTGGAATCATGAGTGCCCAAGTTGTGTTCATCCTGTTGCTTTTTGCCCTCACACATGTATACACGAAAGACGTCCAAACTAGATCGGCTCAGCAGATTTCTCGGAAAGCAATGTGATTCTTTAAAATTTTGATTATTCCCTTTTTCCAGAATGGCGAGGTCATAAACTTTTGTTGCGGCTTTTTAGGTAATAGAGCAGCTTCTCATTGTTTTTTATTCTGTGTCATGGGATTCCTTATTGCTATGTATACTAAGGGGATTTTTTTCAGATTTTTCCCCAATCAATTATTCCGAGAGTATTTGGGTTTTTGACGTGTTTCTCAATACATAAAGCCAACTTTGCTAAAGCCCATTTAAGCAAGCAATTTATTATTGTACATAAGACATGGCTGCTTACTTTGTTATCTTCCTTTTTAACAGAAGGAACTGAACATTATTTTCATCATTTGTTAGCACGATGCTTAGCTAACTAAGGTATGCGAGTCTTCTCAGCAAGTATTGGTGACTGCTGCTATTCACCTTGCAATAACTGATTCTGATTCGTTGATCTGAACATTTTAACACGTCACAGGTACTGATTCTGGCTGACATTTGTTTGGGACATCATACACGTATATTTTGATCGTTCTCAATTCTTGATGAAAAAGAAGGTTGCGATAGGTAACACAGCCCCCGTAGAACGTTTCAACTCGTTTGGAGGTAAAGAAAAGGGATGTATTATTATTCCTTTCCTTCCAACCTTCAATTAAAGCACATTGATTGGCATGGGTCCATTGATAGCATAAGCTAGAAAACATGATTCATGTAATTGAGTTTTACCCAATTTGTATTGTATATCCTCAAGGAGTAGGTGGATCTCTCTTTCTGTCTCTGAATTTCACAAAACCAATGGGAACCCATCCTTATCCATTCACAAAGCTACAAAAGCCATTGTTGCCTCACTCCATTAGAACTCTCTCTTCAGCAAAGCTATGTACCTTACCCCTTTCTTTCTACTTTCATTTGCTATGTTGGACCATGACAATGGTCCACCAAAACAAGTCCTCCCTTTCATGTGATGGATGCATAATAATCCTTCAAGCGCAAGAAAGATGATGTCAAATTGTACAAAAGAATAAGATGTATTAGGTCTATGAACGTTAGTGGTTCTTGCATGAGCAAGGGTGGGTGCATGTGTTGGTGCACCGTCGGTCATGTGTATCTGCAAAATCAAGATTCAAACACATTATTTCATTTATACCACCGAAGCACAAGCTAATTCCTCCAAGCAATTTTGCCGTCTATGGTAACATTATGTTCAAGATCTGTAACAATTTTCATTAACCAAACACTGGCTATTTTAGGCTCAACAACTAGCTCCCATTGTAAAGTCTATTTTGGTCTCAACAAACTGCATTCTTTGTAAAGTGTCCATTGAAAACAATGGATTTGTTGTATTGGCAAGCTGCGACAAAATCAACGTAACTTAATTTATATATCAACTGAATTCAGCATAATTTTTTTAGAGAATCTCAAGGTTCTACTACCCTTGAATTGTAAATTGTATCAACCTGAACAACTCTCTTTTTTCCTGTTCATATCCACTCAACTATCAACATTTTCGGTTCATGAGTTGTTAATGTACAAGTAAGGAGAAAATATAGAATATCCAGGGCTATTTACAGCCCAATGCATAGACATAAAAATTCTCAATTTGTCTTGATAAAAAAGAAATGAGTTGTTGCCAATAAAAAATATGATTGTTTATTGGGTGAGGATACCCCTTATAATAAAATGGGGTAAGTGCAAAAAATACCTCTCTAGTTTTAAAAAGTTGCAAAAAATACCCCTGTTGTTCAACATTGACCCCTCTAGTTTCAAAAAGTTGCAAATAAGGGCTTTTGACCAACATTTTTGACATATGCCGTGCATGTGAGCAAATGTTGGCTTGTAATACCAAAAATACCCTTTTGCACTACCCAAAATGCCCAAAGGGGGATATTTGCACACTTTTGAAAGTACAAGGGGGTTTTTTTTTGTAAATAATGAAAAAAAAAATTAAATTCTCTTCTCTAACGGCTCTCTCCCTAAATAAATGATTTAAAAATAATTAATTTAATTTTCTCTCTCCTATCTAACAGCTCTTTCTCTCTCTATATAATGTTTACTCTCTCTCTCTCACACACACACACTCTCTCTCTATCTCTTCTCTTTCTCTCTCTCTCTCTCTCTCTAACTTCTCTCCCACCATTATATTTCCATTTTGTGTTTCTTTCTCCCATTATATTTTTCATTTTGTATTTCTTTCTCTGTGTATCTTTCACTCTTTTTGCAAGTTGATGGGAAATGGCTTCATCTTCATGATCATGTAGCAAGAAGTCAAGAATGCAAGCATCAAGTCCAACAAAAAATTTCTATTGTGATTGTGGAGTTTTGACTCCATTGAAGACTTCTTGGACCGAAAGAAATCTAGGCAGAAGATTCTATGGCTGTCCAAATTACAAAACAAAGTCATGAGGTGGGAGGATGAAGAATTATCAAAATTTTACAAAAGGTTTATGTTTGATCTCATGTGTGAAGTGAGGAAGTTGAGAAATGAGAGAAATGAAAACTACCATGAAGGTCTGAGGCACATAAATGGTGGTAATAGTTGTAATGGTGTTTGTGTAGGTTTTTTCTTCTCGGTTTTTTTACTTCCATTGCAGTTACTGTAGCAATATTTGCAGTTGTAAAATGAATAATGCAAAATTTATGAATCTGTGAACCTGTGATGCAAAACAATGTTTGTCTACTTTTATTGGATTGTGAACCTATGATTGAAAATAAGGCACGCAAAGCTGTGATTGAAAGTAATTAAGTCATTCAAAATAACCATATACCATCCACACACCATCCACATCACAAAGAGTATTAAAGTCTTACAACTACTAACAGTAAAATTTTACAACTCGTATACCAATGTGAACCTGTGCAATGCATGGAGCTGTGCATACACATCATAAAAAATACTGTCATTCAAGTGAGTACACATCACAAATAATATTGTACTAGACATTGCATGCACAAGTACTAGACACAGCATGCACAACTACTAGCAGTAAAGTTTCATATACCAATGTGAACTGATGCATACACATCACAAATAATATTGTCATTGAAGTGAGTACAACCACAAAAAGTCATTGAATTGATTAGAACACTGCATGCACATGAAGCAAACAGGCCACCCATAAGTCCCAAAGCAGCTTTAAGCAAAAGTACACCAAAAGAGTTGCATCCAAAGTCAGTTCAACCACTGTCCATTGTCCTACAAGTAAAAAATGAATGTATTAGATGTACAGACATTTATTACAAATAAATAAATGGAATCAAACTTTTTGGGACTGTCGACATACCATAGATTCCTGGGTAGCAAGTGTAGGGTCAATTCCAAGTGTTTCAGATTGGGACACATAAGTAACCTTCACATGCAATAAAAGTAAACAAACATAAGTACGATATGCATAGGTATTACACTCATAAATTACACAATTAAAAAAAAAAAATAAGAATATATATTACCTCTTGTTGCACAGTTGCATGTCCTTTAGCTCTAACTGATCTTGCACCTCCCCCACTGCTACTTTCTCCCACAAACAACCCAGTCCTTTTCAAAAGAAGCCTTCCACCTTTGCTTCTTGGTGGTTTAGAAGGTGCTACATCATTCTTGCAGCTTCTGACATTGTGCCCTTCCATCTTACACTTTCCACGCCTCACTTGAAAGTTCAATTTCCCAGAAGCAGCCTTTTTAGCTTTGATATCTCTCAGTTCTTCAGCACTCTTTATTCTTTGCTTTGTTGGCCTTCCCATTTTTGGTTTTTCTCTCAATGGTGGGAGTATTGGAGGATATCCTTCAATGTTCAGAATTTTTCTCAAACAAAGTGGCTTCACAATATGGGCATATATGTTAAGGTGTGTCTCCCTTTGGTAGTAATGACTCACATAGTCTTCAATATTGCCTCTCCTAGAATTGATAACAGCTGCTACATGTATGCAAGGTATACCAGTGACCTCCCAAACCCTAAAATTGCATTTTCTGTTTGTCATATCAACTGCATCATTCTCCCCATTACTGTCAACCTCATATAATTGTGGTCCTGTAGGTTGCACATGACATTTTCTAGAATCTAGCCTCAATTTATCCACTTCATCCTGCACCTTTGAACATAAAAGACCATGTTAGCCTTCCATGTATTCTCTCTTATTATTGCACATTTTCAATAAGTACCTCATAATCATTTCAAACATGTAAATCAATGGTTTGCTCCTGGCCTCTAGAATCTGCCTATTCCAAGACTCACACATGTTATTGCTATTTAAATCGCACTTTGAGTCCACTGTAAAGCCACACTTGGACCATAAATGGTGAGGGATTCTGTTCAGCCACTCAAAAGCATTGTTGTTCATCTTCTTAATGTTTGTCATGTAATTCTTGAACACCTCAAGTGTAAATGCATTAGAAGCATTCAAGAATTCAGTTTTCAATTTGAGATATGGAAATTTCTTCCTAAAATTTTCATACATGTGTCTAGCACAAAACCTATGGTTAGTATTCTCACACAACCTGTCTAACACATCAACCAATCCCTTTTGTCTGTCAGAGATAAAAGTTAACTGATAAGGGGGACCAATGATTGCCATCAACTCATTAATAAACCACTGCCAAGTGGCTTTTGACTCAACCTCCACCACTGCAAAAATAATTGGGTAATAACTATCATTTGGGTCCCTACCAACAGCACTTAACAACTGTCCTCCTTATGGCCCTTTCAAAAAACACCCATCTAGCCCTACAAATGGCTTGCAGCCTTCTTTGAAGCCTTTCCACATTGCTTCTAGATAATAAAAAACCCTCAAAAACCTTTCTTTACTCTGTCAATTTCAGTTTTCACTTTGCATACATTACCAGGACTTGTCTGCATAACAAGCTCACAGTACTCTCTGATTTTTATAAACTGCTCTTTAAAATTACCTTTAATCATTTCCAAGGCTTTTGCCTTAGCTCTGCTTACCTTGAATCTAGAAACTTGTGTCTCAAAATCCTTTTCAATCAAGCCACTTAAACCACAATTCTTCCAAGTTGGGTCCACTCTGAATTGGTTTATGTAGTGCTTGGCTATGTACCTAGATGTTACTTGTCTATTTGTTTCAGGTGGAATACAGTGGTGTGTACTTCTATATGTCTTGATTTGAAAGGTATTATCACTGCTATTCTTTGAGGCATGAATCCTCCAACCACATTTACTAATGCACACAGCAGTAATCCTATTTTTCTCATTTTTCTGAAGCCTGAAATCATACTTGTGTTTTATAGCATGGTCCCTCAATGCTACCCTAAAATCATCTGCACATGCAAACTTCATCCCAATTTCTAAGGGTTTAATGCCCAAATCCCTCTTAACAACATATTTAGTAACCCTAATGTTGCTATCAACTTCCTCATCTGATGAGCTATGAACACTCCACAACTCATCACTTGGTGCATATACAGAATCTCCATCTAAGTCTTCTACTTGACCCCATAAAGCTTCAATATGACCATTGTTATCCTCACTCTCAGTTGCAGCTGAATGGGAAGAAGATTAGGAAGAGGCATAGGAAGATGAGTGGGAAGGAGAATGAGGTGCAGCTGTAGTTTCAGGTGCAGGTGCAGTTTCAAGTGTAGGTGCAGGTGCAGGTGCAGGTGCTACTACTAGTACCTTCACCAATGAAAAATTCTTGTACATTGTAAACATATTCAATAGACCATTATCAGAGACTATGAACACAGGATTTCCATTACTAAGGTCTCTATAATAAACTTCACTTTTGGGATCTAAGTTCAGTAGTGTCAACATATCTTCAATTTCAAAATATGACATGCAATCAGGATCACAATTATCAAATTCATCAACTTTCCCCCCAATATAATAATAGTGGTCCTTATTAAATTTTTCATCATAATGTATCTCAATTGTATACTTTTTAGACATTTTGAATAACACCTACAAAAATTTAAACAAACAATACTAATTAACATCAAATTACATGCATGTGCAGACTAACATCAAATTACATGCATGTGCAGACAAATTATTTACATGCACTGTGAGACAAGAAAATACCAAATATATTACATGCATGTGCAGACAAATATCAGTGTAAAAACATTAACAGAACCAACCTCAAATGCCAAAAAAAAATATAAAAAATAAAAAATTACACAAGTTCAAGGCAGTTTAACACTTTTTTAGACATGTGGAACCCCCCCAAAAAAAAAAAAGGCAAAAGACTCTCATTTTTATCTAAAACCGTAACCCTATTTTTTATAAAACAACTATACAATACACTACAATAAACATGAAAAAGATAAAGTGGAAGTTATTTAACTATAATCAAAGCAAATAGAGACATGTGGAACCCAAATTCATTGACAATCGACACAAAACACTAAAGAGGACCACACAAATTCGAATAAAACCCTTTATCGAACAGAAAAATAACAATAACATCACATAAACTATTGAATCACACAAATACAGACGCTATAACATAAATACCCTAACTTTTATCATCATTAAAGAAATCAGAAACATGAAAACATAAAAACCCTAACCTCTTAAACGCGTTTTTTCCTTTCAATGGTAGCACTTCGTCTTTGATCTCAAACCCCAATAGCCAGAAATTACGGATCATCCACAATCAAGCCATGAAAATGACTGTGTTTGCTTTGTCTTTGGTGTCTGTGTTTGTGAGGGGCTGTGTATGTGTGTGATCGACAATAGAGATGACTGATGGTGTGGCTTGGGTTGTATAACCCTAACCCTATTTAAGGTTTTTAGTGTATTTAGCCCAAACGACGTAGTTTTGAGTGTGTTAAGTTTCATTACCCAAAACGACGTCGTTTTGTTCAATGTCTATTTAGGTCATTTCAACTTTTTCAATTTTATTATTATTATTGAATAAAGATTATTAGGGGGTATTTTCGTATTTTAACCTACCCCTTTGACAAAAATTTCTTATTTGCAACTTTTTGAAACTAGATGGGTCAATTTTGAACAACAGTGGTGTTTTTTGCAACTTTTTGAAACTAGAGGGGTGTTTTTTGCACTTATCCCAAAATATCCTTGTGCAATGTTTGACTCATCAAGTAGGCGTCTTGGGTTTTGGATTGAATAAAAATTAGCAAAACTTTTGAACTAAACTTCCTCTAATTCTAAATTTATCACACTCTAATTTGGTACTCTCAAACATAAAGGGCGAATTCAGGAATGTCAATAGGGTGGACTAATATTTCTATGGATAGGCTAATAGTAGTAATTAGATATAGTAAATTTATTTTTTTGGGGCTAATATAATTAGGTATAGTAAATTTATTTATTTATTTTTTATTATTTTATTTTAGTGCACTTAACCCACCCTTGATCCGCCAACCATTAGAATATTGTATACTTTCCACAAGTTTCGATTATAAATTTTTTTCCTTTTTTATCACACTTTACAAATTTCTTTATGATAACTTGCAATACACTTGTTTGGTTGAATCATTTACTATCAACACTGATCGAGATTTGAGTATCTCAACTTCTACTCGATATGTACAAAATTTATATATAATTTTTATCAGTTAAAAGGTAACGGGCATGAAAGTTTGCAAAACTATTAATTAAGAGCTATAAGGACTATCATTAGTCAAGTTTGACTCAATTAACAACAAAATTTCTCTTAACCTGGTCAGGTAACTACTGTAATGCACTAACGTCAATGAAGACCAAACCAAAATTAGGAAAATTAAATGGATTTTTCTTTTTTTAAATTATTAGAGATTATTTACAATTTACTTAATTTGTGTATCTATCTCTTCAAGAAGTTTGATATATATGTATATTAAATAATGTGATGATACGGCATGTGATGAATTACTTATTAAAAATATATATATACATCATGTGAAAAACAAAAGACACTACCTTCTGTATGTCTAATTTCCATAAAATAGGAAAACAAATCTTTTTAAAAACTCTTACATATTCAAAACTCAAGATACTTTTATATCATAGTACAATATAATTACATCATAAAATACAATACTTATTCAATGAATTAAAAATAAAGTTTAACACATAAAAATATACTATAATATGTTATGTTATATATATATTAATTTTAGAAAGTTATTAAGTTGAGGATTTAATCTTGCATCATGAATTTAAAATTGGTGTCGCCAAAAAATAAAAATAAAATAAAATAAAATTGGATATAAAGAGTGGACAAAAATTGACACAAAGTATCTGCTTCATTCACTTAACGGTATAGTGTTAAGAATGAACCATATTCTGCAACCTCCAAGAAAAGCCCCACTAGCAGGGTATTATGGTAATTTCAAGTCTTTTCAATTCACATATATAGCACGTGACATTCCGTGATTGGAGGAGGATGCAGTATGTTCTCTCTCTCTATAAAAGTTATCCTCCGTTAAATCCCTCCCTCACTCACTCTCACTCTCACTCTCCAGTGCTTAGCTCAGACAACACAATGGCATTACCGGTTGTCCTTCTCATCCTCTCTCTCTCCTCTTTCTCTCTCCTCACTCCCACACAATGCCGTGGACGATCCCAAAGACTCACCCTCAACTACTACCAAAAATCATGCCCTAGATTCCAACAGATCATGCAAGACATCGTCACCAACAAACAGATCACCTCCCCCGCCACCGCCCCCGGCGCCCTCCGCCTCTTCTTCCACGACTGCCTCATTGAGGGCTGCGACGGCTCCGTCCTCGTCTCCTCCACCCCCTTCAACAAAGCCGAGCGCGACTCCGACATCAACCTCTCCCTCCCTGGCGACGCCTTCGACGTCGTCGTCCGTGCCAAGACCGCCCTCGAGCTCGTCTGCCCCGCTGTCGTCTCCTGCGCTGACATCCTAGCCGTCGCCACTCGCGATCTCGTCACCATGATGGGAGGACCATTCTACAATGTCAAATTAGGCCGTAGAGATGGGTTGATCTCAAAAGCATCTCACGTCGAAGGGAATATTCCGATGCCCACCATGTCGATGACACAACTGATTCAGATTTTCGCATCCAGAAACTTCTCAGTTCAAGAAATGGTGGCACTGAGTGGTGCTCATACGATTGGGTTCTCGCATTGTAGTGAATTTAGCAAAAACATTTACAATTTCAGCAAGAAATCGCAATACGACCCGAGTTATAATCCTCGATACGCACAAGGGCTGAGAAGTGCTTGTGCTGATTATCAGAAGAATTCGAGTGTGTCAGTGTTCAACGATGTGATGACTCCGAACAAGTTCGACAATGTGTACTACCAGAACTTGGGCAAGGGGTTGGGGGTTTTGTCTTCGGATCACGCATTGTATTTGGATCCCAGGACGAGGCCATATGTTGAGATGTACGCTGGGAATCAGAATGCTTTCTTTGAGGCATTTCGTCGAACGATTGAGAAGCTGAGTGTCTATGGTGTCAAGACTGGACGGAGAGGAGAGATTAGGCGAAGGTGTGATGCGTTCAACAATTGAAAATAGGAGAGGTTGTTACTTAATGGTGGCTGACCCTTAGGGTGTGACAAATGAAACCCTTTGAACTCTGGAGTTTGTGACACTAACTATAGCAAAATGGTACATTCATCAGACTCTTGAGCTTTGATAAGACTGAATGTGCATTTGAATGTTACGTTGACACTTGTCTGAGTGGATTTTTATTTTATTTTATTTTATTTGAAGCTGTAACTTTTCCATTTATATTTTGAGATCTCGGTTCATAGGGAGGTCTGTGAATTTATTTTTGTTGCAGCTTTAGATCACAGAGAGCCCCAACTTACAATGTCATTACCGAGTGAAGTTGAGCATGGCTAACTAATGTAACTATTACCTTAAGTTGATATCAAAATGTACAAGAGATCAAACAAGCTGAGTTTTAGCAGTCAATACTAGGTTCAGCTTCTCTAATCAAACCCTAATCACATGCATATTTCTGTTCATTTACTTGGTTCTTGGGAAAGAGGGGTGGGGAGAGATTTAATGCTTGATTTTTCATATGATGACTACTTGACGAAATAAAGTATGAAAATAGTGCATAAACTTAGTATTAACTAGCTTGATTCAGTGTTATTACATTTATAAGTAAATTGACTCTGACTTAATTACATTTATAATTGATTTGTCTGTAGTGTTGCAAGTGGAGCTTTGATTATTATGATTGGAGCAGTTGCAAAATACCTGGATCTGGATATTGAAAGGAATAAGTATTGGCTTAGTCTCCTAAATCATGAATCAGAAAAACCCAGGTTTCCCGTGCTCTTCCACATGCAGGTCTGTAATGTATCGTTTAACTGTGCTGAACCCAGAAGTTTAAAGATTTTCAGAATAGTTTCTTTACACATTGGTTATTATCATTCGGGATGGCTATTATGAGTAAGGTTATGTTAGTGCTTGTTGTTTTGTGATATAAGTGCTAATCAACATGTCTGCAAAATGTTGTCTTAGAAATTATCTCAAACTTATAATCCATAATTGCTGGTTACAACTAATAGATCAGCTGGTAGGTTTACTGATTAGAACAGCTTGGTCTGGATATCATCATGTGTCCTGCCATAATGCACTGTTTTGAAGCATTAGTAATGCATCTTTAATTCTGATGTGAACATTTTGTGTTTATTTGAAGTTACCTTTGACATTTCTTTTCTCACAGGTTTCCCATTGGTTTTCCCACTGTTTCAGCGACTGGCCTCTTGTCCCAACTTACTTCTACATTTCTTGGTTTGGCACCCACGTACTTACTTCTATTGGCATCTCTCATTTATAGATTACTTTCATTGTAGTACTCATTGGACAGTTGTCTAGACTCTAGATATGAGAAGTATTTTGTGAATTTCCTGCAGATATGAAGCTTTTATGCTTCACTTGCTCTTGCACTTATGGCATGGGTACTATATGAAAATGCGTCTTTATATAACTAAGTTGAAAATACCTTCAACTAAAACTGTGAAGGATAACAGCATTCTTAAAAAGGATGATAGATGCATGTAGTTGTCCCATATGAGAATTCCATTAGTCTTTTTAGGACACATTCTTCTTTCATTTTTATTGTTTCTCTTTCATCAAAATGTAAATGTTCTTAATATTTTTGTTTTACTATCAAGTTTTGGCATATGTGTGTAATACCCCGATAATTTTAAAAGATTTATTAATTAGGATTAATTATTTTATTTTATTTTTCAATGATTTATTTTATTTTATTGAGTGTTAGATTAATTATCTTATTTTAATTAAGTTATATTTCGTGATTATGTATGATGATTGATTGTTTGTGTGGTTGATTATTGATTGAATTATTGGTATGTTGATTTTATTGGTATTATATGACTTAGTTGTAAATTTTTGTTTGTTTATGTGCTTCATGTAATTAGTTATTTTAATTTCTGTATTTAATTAATTATCTTATTTATTTAAATTAATTGGATTGGGCTTAAGGAAAGTTGGACCAAAAGATGTGGTCTTGGGCATCTATGAAACCTTATTAGGTTAATTAATGAAGGTCCGTGGTTATTTAATTATTTAAATGATTACTTTTGTATCAATTATATATATATATATATATATATATATATATAATTATATATAAATATAATTAATTAATAATTGTTATGGAAAGATATATATATAGATATATATTTATTGATATTTATAAGTATATATGATTTAATTAACTAATGAGTTAATTATGGAAGGAATATATATTTATATATATATATATGTTTATAGATATAAATTATTTAAAGATTATTATTTTAATTCATAATACTAGTTGGAATAGGATTTGGAATTTAAGGTGTATAAAAATACACATAAGGCTTTAGGGTTAAAGGTTTTACACGTTAGAAAAATAAAACAGACAGAGAGAGAGGAAGAAGAAGGGCTGACAAGGAGGAGGTCGGATCTGAAAAGGAGGACGTCGGAATTGGAAGAGATAATTAAAGCTTAAAGCGTCGGTTTCATTTCGAAACCTTCAGGCGAGTTTTCTCTATTTTTCCTCTTAGAACCTATAAGGATTTCATCTTAAGTATTAAGGCTCTAATTAAATTATTAATTTGGATTAATTAAAAGCATCAAGTTAATTTATTTTATTAAATTGTGTTTAGATATGATTATTTAAAAGTATGAATTATTATATAGTTTTAATTTTGGATTATTGGATTTTATTTGTATATGTAGATGTTGGATATATATATTAAAATCAATGTATAGGTGGAACTGTGACCTAAGGGGATTAATTTTGGTTTTTATATTTTCTGGAATTTTTCTGTACTTTTCAGAATATTTTTAGAATTTGTTTTGTAATTTTTTTATATTCTGGAATTTATTTTAGAATTATTTTTATTAAATTTTAAATTAATTCTATGCACTCTGTGTGAATCGGCGCATAAATCAGGAGATGGGTGATTCGAGGTATGATCTAGTGTGGTAGAATGCATAGTAAAAGGTTACATCACTGATCTAGGCCATTGGAATAGTTTAAATATAAGTGGAATGATTCGGTGCATTACGGTGTACATAAAAGAGTGCGCATGTGAATCTGGACCATGGATTAAGTTTGGTCAACAGAAGATTTATCTGGTGTGGGTGCATACATGTGAGCTCAAGTGAGCTAATCTGGTGTGGGTGCGTTTGTGTGAGCTCAAGTGAGCTAATTAAGTGTGGGCGCGCTCACAGTAGCGTTTGAGCTTAGCCAATTATTTTGTCTGTTTGTGACATAAAATTAAAACGGTCATAACTTAGTCATCTTAAATCGAAATTGGGTCATTCTTGAGCTCAAATTCAAGGATTTTTCGTCCTCTTTCCAATGGTACCAATTTCATTATCAGATTCTTATCCTAATAAGAGATATTTACGTTTTAGTGAGACGGTGTCGGAAAACTATTTAAACCGGTATGGAGTATTTAAAGGAAACTATTTCTGACATATTTAGTTGCACTAATTTGGGTAAATATAATAAATTAATAATTTGTTATGGAAGGAAGTGTATATATATATATATATATATATATATATATATATATATGTATGTATGTATGTATATTGATTTTAAATAATCAAGGATTATTAAAGAAGGTGTTAAACACATATATACATTAAATAACATATGTGTAGGTATATATATATATATATAAATCATTTAAGATGATTAATATTATCATTCTTATTTGGCATATCTTAATAGGCTGGTTGTTAAATTAATGATATGCGTATAATATGCATGTGATGGCTATGTATGATTTAGCGTATTGTTAATTTTAAAGTTAATTCATGGTTAAAGTGTGGGCATGGATGAATTGTCAAATGATTAAATATATTACCTAAATATTTGTATGAATAGAATACATATATGGAAAGAATGGATGAATTGCTAATTAAATGTATGAATAAATATACCTGTGGAGGCATGGTTGAATTGCCAATGTATAAATATACATACACGGAGGCATGGTTGAATTGCCAATGTATAAATAAATATACTTATGGAGGCATGGTTGAATTGCCAATATATAAATAAAAATATTTACAATGGCATGGTTGATTTGCCAAAGCATAATTACGTTGTTATGTGTTAGATGATTAAAATATCATCTATGGTTGTTGTATGTATGGATTGGATTAGGGTTAGATATTCTTAAATGAGAATAGTTTAGTACTTACTGGTTAGTGTATTATTTTACATTAGTAAAATAATATTGGGGAAGACGTGGATGATTTGTCAAAACTTGGATTTTGGATATGTGATTTAAACAATTAAAATCATTATCGGGTTGGGATTAAATAGAGTATTTCTTTTATTATAATTTGTTGTTTAAATGATTAAACAACTGATTAGGATGGGATTAAGGTCAAAGGAGTTTTTATAAAATGAAATGGTAGATTGGTCTAGGTATGAATATTATTTTAATAATTATTTAATAGTTATGGAAATTTAATAAACCTATTAATGGATGTGATTAGTATAGTATATATAATTATATATAGACATGTATATCGTGCTTTATTAAAGTTAAAACTTTATTAGGTTTGGTTTTGATCAGAGATGATTTGCTTGTTGGTTTTCAGAGGCCTGGTAGAGTGAACTTGCTCGTAGGGTTTAACCCACGATTTATTTTTCAGATTATTAGAGGTTGCAGTCTCGAGGTTGAGGATCCGCAGCTGGGAGACTGTCATTCGTCTATTCATCTTGTGTACTTTTAAATAGTATTGGATTATTGGATAATGTTTTAAGGGGTCCTTGAGTTATGGGATTTTCGAATTGTAATTGTTGGAGAATCATTAAGTAATATTTATTTATTAGTTTTCTTCAGCGGTTTATTTATTCTTTATTATTCATCTTTGTATTCTGTGCTTGTTAAATACTTAAATTGTTTTGATATCCCCTGATTTTGTGCGCGGACTTGATCAATCCGTGTTCCAAAATTAGGGGGTATCACAGTTGGTATCAGAGCACTCCAGGTTCAAGTGTCCCTAGGGTGTCTTTCGTTGTGTGACTTCCGCGTTGTGTACTCTTTTACTTGGAGCTTAAGTTTAGGATTCATTGTATTCTATATTCGGTCCGTTAGTGTGTCCTAATGGTAAATCATTGAGTCTTATCAGGAAAATGGTAAGACATCGATTTAGAAGGTATTGGTAAATCGTTGAGTCTTCCCCTAATTTTGAAGTATGGGTTTTATGGATTTATGCACCAATAAAATAACATGGAGGTATTTTAGGGACGGATTAACGGAATAGTTAAGTCCTACCTATTTATTTATGAATTGTATGGTTTAATACACCGGTATGGGACGGTGGCATTTCAGGGACGGATTAACCAACGAAGTTAAGTCCTACCTATATATTTATAAGGGAACGGATTAACCATAGCGTTAAGTCCTACTTATTCGTGTCAGGTCAACGGAATAGTTGGATGGTATGCCATTGAAATAATATGGTTGGATAGTTTACTTTTATGTGGATATAATGGATTATATATATATATATATACATACACACACACATATATGGGCCATGATATAAGCTTGAGTCTCAGGATCAGTGGTTAGGATGGAGGCGTATATTGCCGATTGAGATGGGTAGCTGGGTTTAAGGATGTGTGGGCTCTGGTAGAAGGAGGACTCGTAACCACCTTTGTGTGCGTTTTACATGAGATACCCACTATCCGGTTGAAACTGCTTTAGTTCAGTGAGAGTCTCTAGTGTGTACTTATATTTATCAATTATATAAATATGGAATTAGCTAATTACGTGATGTGTCTGCTAATAATGAATATGTGTGGATGGGTTAATTTCCACACGGATAAAAGGAATAATGAAATTTGAAATTAAATAATCAAAGTTTTTATTTCATGGATTTGTGAATTCCGAGGACGGAATTCCGTTT